GCTCATTCTGTAATTGATGAGTAGGATCTGACTGAGGTAATAACAATAATCTTGGCTCATGCAACGGGATGTAGGAGGTAATGGAGTGTCTTACATGTACTTTAAAGACCACTACGGAAAGGTTTTGGGGACCCAAAAAAAGTGACAAACCTGGCTGCTTCCTGTTTAGAGTCAGCGGTGTTGTTGGAGATCAGAGAGGTCAACTTTTTGTTTATTTTAATATTCTGAACAAATGATTCCTTGTTGTTTGTATACAGTGTAAAAACTGCAGGGCTCCACACAATTAATTCATGTTGTTCCAAACCCACGCCAACACGGTGGAGATCATGCAAACTCTACACAGAAATGCTAACTGGCCCAGCCAGGACTCCAACCAGTGACCTTCTTGCTGTGAGGCAACAGTGCTAACCACTGAGCCATCATGCATTCAGAAACACTGTACAATTCGCTATACAATAGGCTTTTTTATGTCTCTTACACATTTCTTTATGAGCAAAAGACTGACAGAAGCATTAAACTCTTAAAAAAAATGCTGAAATTGGTTCTAAATACACAAAGAAAAAAAGGCAGACCAACTAACGCTCAAAACTGCTGACTGTTTCGCCGCTGCCTTTCATCTTTTCAGAACATCTGCAGCTTCCTACACATCCAATAAGACCAAAATAACCATTATGTTAAATACAGGGTAGCAGCCGGGTGATGATAAACACTCCTAGAGCTTTCACTTTGACAATTTCCCCCAAAGTGAGTGTCGAAAGGCCTTTCATTCTTCTTGCAAATCGAATATGAGAAAACACTCCGGCTAGTAATAGATTGTCATACAATTAAGACCTTTTAAGCCTTTTACGATTCTGCATTACAAACAGAATTGTAAATGTCTAGAGAATGGATAATGGGTCCATGAATCAGCACCGGGCACCTCTAATCGGATGTGTCTGATTCACACTGGGGGTGTTGACAGGCTGAATTCCTCGCTGATGTGCATAATTTTAAGCCTTACTGGAAACATCAGCCAAACAGCAGGATGCCAGAATAGTTGGCTGTGTGTGTGTGATTGTGTGTGCTGATGGAAGTGGCTTTTGTTGGTGTGTGTGTGTGTGTGTGTGTGTGTGTGTGTGTGTGTGTGTGTATGAATTTATGTAAGTTTTCAGCTGAACATTTCAAGGATGAAATTGATTGAAATTGGACTCAAGTTATGATTTATGCAAATTTTTCTCATTTCATAGCTTCTGCAGTTTTAAACTTTGTTTTATTTTTGCTTGTTGGAGTTGGTGAAGTATTTCTCAAAATTTGTATGCTGATGTTTTTCAGTTTAACTATTTATATGCATGCAACATAAAAAAGTTCTATGACATTTAGTCAGACTTAGTGCTTAATGTAATATAGAGATGCTTTCCCAGTGAGACAAGATGATTCAAATGTAATAAAGTAATGTGAAGTAATGACACTTAAAACAGTAGATCCCTATATAGAGCTCTTCACACTGGGCCTGATCAAAGCAAAATTTTGTGTTTTATTTTTCATCCCGTTGCACTACAATGAAAGATTCACCTTTTATGTCTCATATTGTCATTTGCTTTATTTAAGTCTTACTGAGCATTAACATGCACTGCAATTTATAATGATTCACAACAAAAATAATATATACTGTGTTCTGCATGCCCATAGAGATATCTGATATAGTACTGTAGGAAAAAATATAATATAATATAATATAATATAATATAATATAATATAATATAATATAATATAATATAATATAATATAACATAACATAACATAATATAATATAATATCATGTAATGTAATGTAATATAATATAATTTAATGTAATATAATATAATATAATATAATATAATATAATATAATATAATATGATATAATACAATATAATTTAATGTAATATAATACAATATAATTAATATAATATAACATAACATAATATAATAATATAATGTAATTTAATGTTATATAATATAATATAATATAATATAATATAATATAATATAATATAATGTAATTAATGTAATATAATATAATACAATACAATATAATGTAATATAAGGTATTATAATACAATATAATTTAATATAATAATATAATATAATTTAATGTGATATAATGTAATATAATATAATTTAATGTGATATAATATAATATAATATAATATAATATAATATAATATAATATAATATAATATAATATAATATAATATAATATAATATAATATAATATAATATATCAATGGTTAGGAATATTATGGTTGGACCCCTTTTTGCATTCAGAACGACCTTAACCCTTCATGGCATGGATTCAACAATGTACTGGAAACATTCCTCAGAAATTTTGGTCCATATTGACATGATAGCATCATGCAGTTGCTGCAGCTTTGTTGGCTGCACATCTATGATGCAAATCTCCAGTTTTACCACATCCCAAAGGTGCTCTATTGGATTGAGGACTGGTGACTGTGGAGGCCGTTTAAGTACAGTGAACTCGTTGTCATGTTCAAGAAACCAGAGATTCACAAGCAGATTCATGCTTTATGACAGGGTGCGTTATCCTGCTGAAATAGCCATCAGAAGACGGGTACACTGTGGTTATAAAGGGATGGACTTGGTCAGCAACAATACTCAGGTAGGCTGTAGCGTTGACACGATGTTCAGTTGGTACTATCAAAAAAATATTCCCCACACCATTACACCACCACCAACAGCCCTAACCGTTTATACAGGATGGGATGGATCCATGCTTTCATAGTGTTGACGCCAAATTCTGGCCCTACCATCCAAATGTCGCAGCAGAAATTGATACTCATCAGACCCGGCAACTATTTTCCAATCTTCTATTGTCCAATTTTGGTGAGCCTGTGTGAATTGTAGCCTCAGTTTCCTGTTCTTTGAGTTACTGTTGCCTTTCTATCAGCTGGAACCAGTCTGGCCATTCTTATTTCGGACCATTCTCTGTAAAACCTAGATATTGTTGTGTATGAAAACCCCAGTAGATGAGCAGTTTCTGAAATACAACAACAATGCCATGTTCAAAGTCACTTAAATCACCTTTCTTCCCATATCTGGGGAAGCAGAAGATAATCATGACCATGTCTACATGAATAATTGCATTGAGTTGCTGACATGTGATTGGCTGATTAGAAATGTGCGTTAACGAGCAGCTGGACAGGTGTACCTAATAAAGTGGCCGTTGAATGTCTACTGTATGTCGCTAAAGGTGTGGTGTGGTAATATTATGTATTTGATTATGTAAGTTTTATTATGAATAATGCATGGCTATTTTCCAATCAGCAATAATGACTGACATTATTTGTCTCCCATATCTGCAGTACTTATCAAAATATTATTATTATTTTGTTAAGCACTTCAGAAATGGTAAACAAGAATGCGTCCATGCAAGCATTACAAATATTACAAAGAATTAATGACATTGCTGGAATAATATTTAAAGGTATGCATTCAGACTGAATATATTATGTTGTCTTTTCTCTCTCCAGCACCTGCTCTGTTCTCTCACATCCGCTGTCAGCTGCACAGAAAGATGTGCATGTCTTATCAGTCAATAAAAGCCCATCACATGTGTGAAATACAGCTCGTCCCAAGGAACATTTGACCTAAATAACTGACATGCCTGATTTTAAAGTTTCATTTATAGGGTTTTCTAAAAACCTCTCAGGTGGAATAGAACAATGGAGGAATATTTGAGTGACACTGAATATTTTGCTACAGGGGATTTACATAATGTTTTATATATAATAGATTCTATTCTTAAATAGCAGATCATTCTGTGTTTGTGAGAAGCATTATTTTATGAAGACAGCATGTTGTTTGCCAGATTACATAACTGGTGGCTTTTATCATGTGGCCAAAAATATTTAAATAAAATGAAGAAGATATTTGCATTAAATAAATAGGATGTTTTTCTTTAATTTTAACAGTGTAGGATTAGAGTTAATTTTGTTCATCCAGCACAACTGCTTATGTTGTGAAGAAAAAAACTGTAGGGTTACCGCTCTTGATTTTCCTTTTCACCACCAGAGAGAGCTGGCATAATGCAAAGTGGATGCTTATAATCCATATCAGACAATTGTAGAAATTATTATGACCTCACATCCTTTTGCATGCTTAATCTTTTGTTTGAATTGTATTATTTATATTTTTATTTTTATTAAAATTATTATTATTATTATTATTAAGCAAATATCATTGCCTCTAAATAATAATAATATGATAATAATAAATAGTATAGGTCATTCATATAAAGTTAATTAATCAATTTAATTATTACAGAACCTATTAAATAGAAGATACTTTATTAGGAGGGGAATTTTTATTCTACTTTTAAGATAAAACTGTTTTGTTCTGGTTCAAAATAATTTAAAAAAATCATTTTTACAATTGTAAATTAATTTCTGCCTCTCAGACATCTTTATTTTTCATTTTTTACCCCCTCCATAACCTGTTTAGACTGGTCATTTCTGTTTATTTCAAAGCTTAGCTCAGTGTATTTATTTTATTCAATTCTAAAAGGTTTTATTTAGTATATGTGGCAGTCGGATGCTTAAAGTCTGATGGGAAATACAGTTTCTGATCTTAATGAACAAATAAAAGGCAGAGCAACATATACTTATGTACTAGTTTGGATAAAAGAGGGAATGCCGAAACGGCTTGCCATAATACGCCACAACTATTCCTTCTCAATACATGTCGATCTGTCCCCGCTTGCCTTTGTGTGACACTGCGAGCGACCAATCAGAGCGGCTCTAACGCATTCCACCGTGAACGTCAGCCAATCGCGTGAGAGCGGGGCGTGATTTCCCTCTCACGGCTCCGCGAGGCATGAAGTTTATTCATAGTGCGAGCAGCTCAGGGAGAAAGATGCACCTTTGCGCGGATGCGAATGGGAGATTTTTCTATTGCGCGCTTTAACTTTTCACACTTCCACGGATTGTTTCTAAGGTGAAATAGTAACTGTTGTTTACATTACAAATGGCTGGGAGTAGAACAGAGCAGCGGCACCGAAGATCGTTTCACGTGCACTTGTTTGTCATTACATTGACTTTGATTCGCGATGCATCTTCACAGGGCTTTGAGAGTTTGGGATTAACCTACGGTTTAAGGTCTGAACTTTCAGAGGATGCTATTCTCGTTGCCAATAATGGAATACGAGTTCCTTTCGGGAGATCTGTCTTTATTGATCCAATCAATGATCTGGTTATTCAAGTTCAGCCCGGAGACAAGTGCACCGTAACGGTTCTGGATAATGACCCACTGTCACAGAGACCTGGACAGCTGTCCCCGAAAAAGTTTCCTTGTGAATTCGGTCCCAATGATGTAAAATACTCGCATTTTGGATCCAGGAGCCCCTCAAAAGACAGAGTAAGACTTCAGCTCAGATATGACACTCAGACTGATACAGTTATCATTCCCTTTATGATGGAGGTGGAGGTGATTTTCACTCAGCTAGAGATTCTCACCAAACACATGCCTGTAGTTGTAGAAAAACTGCTTGGATTGAGTAATCCTATTGATAAGAAAATCCTGGAGTTCACTTATGACAGAAATGCTCATTTGTGCAAAGTTACATCTCTGGCCAGTGGCAGCTCATTGCCTCGATATGGAAAGCTGGTTGACAATGGAAAATTGGGGAAACCTGTAGACTGTGATGAATTTGTCAGGATGGACATTCGTTATCAGCATACTTTTGCACATCGTTCCCCAAACAGAGATTATATTCCCATGTATTTAGAATTACAAGACAAAGAAGCGAATGTGCTGAAGCAAGAGTTTTTCCAAATTGTAGTGCTCATAAAGGAGGGCGAGGAAAACACGGCTCCCAAACCAAGTTTTGTAGCAATGATGATGATGGAAGTCGATCAGTTCGTAATGACGGCTATAACCCACGACATGCTTGCTGCTGAGGATGTGGAATCTAATCCTGATGATTTAATCTTTAACATCACTTCCCCGCTGTCCTTTGAGGAGGGCTACATTGTGAGCACGGATGACAGGAATTTGCCCATTACGTCTTTTTATCAAGCAGACCTGAAAGAGCTTAAGATAGCCTATAAGCCTCCCGCTGTGGACTCAGATGCGGAGAGAATTTTCCAAATTGAATTTGAAGTTGTAGACACTGAGGGGGCTATATCGGACCCCTTTGCGTTTATGATAGTGGTTAAGCCTATGAACACTCTAGCACCAGTTGTGACCCGTAATACGGGGCAGCTGCTTTATGAGGGTCAATCCAGGCCACTGTCAAGCTCACAAAATCTACAAATTAGTGATGAGGACAATTTAGATTATGTTCAGATCACGGTTATTAATGGGCTTCGCCATGGAGAGCTCACAGTTCTGGGCTCCAGGCAAAAATTCTTCACTCCAGCAGACCTCGATGTGGGAAGCGTGATCTACCAGCATGATGGCAGCGATACGTACAGCGATAATATCATTTTCAGAATGACAGATGGCAAAAATGAAGTTGAGTTTCTGTTTCCCATTACAGTGGTGCCAACTGATGACGAACCTCCTATAATCAATGCCAACACCGGTTTGGTTTTGTTTAAAAACCAAATGATGCCTATTTCTTCTTTAACGCTTAGTGCGGCAGATATAGACTCTGAGGATTCAACTATCAAATTCATCATGGTGCCTCCTTACTCTAACATCGGAGAAGTGATACTTCGTCAATCAGATGCACCAGAGGATCCGTCCACATGGAGGTTCAACGCAGAGGATGAGATGTATGAGAAAGTAGTGACCGAATGGCTCCAGCATGATATCACAGAAGGCAAGTTGTTTTATAGACATATCGGACCACACAATACAAAAACCATCATGGATCAGTTTGTTTTCCGTGTGCAAGATGACAATGATCCACCAAACCAGTCAGGAGAGAACTCTTTCATCATCAAAGTTCTCCCCATTGATGATATCCCCCCTGATATGTATCCTGGGACCACCTTGCAAATGACTGTTCATGAATACCATCTCACTTTTTTCCGAAAGAAATTCTTGCGCTACACAGATTTGGATTCTGACGACAGGGATTTGAAGTACACAATTACCCAACCACCCGCTGACACAGATGAGAACAGCCCTGGCATTCTGGGAAGCATCGTTTTAACCGAGAGTCCAACTTTGGAGGTCAATGAGTTCACTCAGGCGCAGATAAATCATCACAAGATTGCCTACAAGCCTCCCGATCTAGAACTTGGAATAACCCCACACGTGGTGCAGTTCCAATACAAAGTCGAGGATACAGCAGGAAACAGCGCCAGTGGAGTTTTCACCATATTTTTACAGCCTGTGGACAACAAACCTCCGCAGATCACCAACACGGGCTTTACTTTGCAAGAACGAGGGATGCACGTCATCACACGCGCTGAGCTGGACACCACAGATGCCGACACGGACAGCTCACAGATTTTGTTTACAATCACCCAGCCTCCACAGCATGGTCAGGTCAAGTACACATTCACCGACATGACTAAAGGGAATTCGTTTAATTTGGATGACATATCGAATGGCAGAATATCTTACATTCATAATGGGGATGAGTCAACTAGTGATTTCTTTCAGCTGGATGTCAGTGATGGTGTCCATGTTGTCACAATCACCGTCAGGATCAGCGTAAAGCCTATTGACGATGAAGCGCCAATCATCAGCCTTCCAGAGGGAACTATTGGCTCCTATATAGATGTTTTAGAGAACGGAGCGACTGAGATCACAACCAATGTTATTCAAGGTCGAGATGAGGACACCGATGACCTAAGGCTGACCTTTATTGTGGAGGATCCCCCAGTGTTTGGTGAAATATTAGTAAATGGTGTGCCATCCAATAGGTTTACTCAAGCAGATATCATCAGTGGTTTGGTAGTGTATGCGCATAATACTGGAGAAATTGGCTTGGCAACAAAACAAGACTTTTTCAATCTGACACTCACCGATATGTCTGATGAATGGACAGTTGGGGGGAATAAAATCAAAGGGGTTCGCGTGCAGGTCACCATTCTGCCATTGGACAGTCAGGCTCCGGAGGTGTTCGTGGGCCCCCAGTTCATCGTCGTAGAGGGTGAGAAAAATGTTATAGCAATTTCGCACATTAGCGCCAATGACATTGACACCCCTAATGATGATCTCCTTTGCACAATTATTGTGCAGCCCACTTCAGGTTATGTAGAAAACATTTCCCCCGCACCAGGATCTGAAAAATCCAGATCAGGGATTGCCATCAGTGCTTTCACCATCAAAGACATTCGGGAAAACCACATTTATTATGTGCAAAGTATTCATAAAGGAGTCGAGCCAGTTGAAGATAGGTTTACTTTCAGGTGTTCAGATGGGATCAACTTTTCCGAGAGACACTTTTTCCCAATCGTCATAATCCCATCCAATGATGAGAAGCCTGAGATCTATATGAGAGAGTTTGTTGTGATGGAGGGCATGAACATTGTGATTGACACTCCAATATTAAATGGCGCCGATGCTGACGTTCCAGCGGATGAGCTCACATTTATTATTTCAAAACCTCCGAAACATGGATTTATCCTTAATCAGCTAACCTCAGGCACAATTCCTGTCACAAACTTCACTCTCGAACAGATACGAGAGGCTTCAAGTATTGTCTACGAACATGATGATTCAGAAACCACAGAGGATAGCTTTGAAATTCTTCTTACTGATGGTAAATTCACAGTGGAGAAAACCGTTATGATCATGGTCATATTGGTGGATGATGAAACACCAAGGATGGCGATTAATGATGGCCTTGAAATAGAAATCGGAGAGGTCAAAATCATCAACAATAAAGTGTTAAAAGCCACTGATTTGGATACAGAAGACAGCACTCTGACCTACATCATCCGTTATGGTCCGAATCAAGGTATTTTACAAAAGCGAACACCATTTGGACTATTTGAGAACATAACCGTCGGAATGAACTTCACACAAAATGAGGTCGACCAAGATATAATTATGTACATTCATAATGGACAAGAGGGAGTTCGTGACCTTATTAAATTTGATGTTACTGATGGCATTAACCCTTTGATTGACAGATACTTCTATGTAACTGTGGGTGGGATAGATATGGTGTTCCCAGATGTAATAAGCAAAGGTGTTTCTCTAAAAGAAGGAGGAAGGGTAACTCTAACCACAGATCTGCTCAGCACCAGCGATTACAACAGCCCTGATGAGCATTTGGTTTTCACCATCACTCGTGCCCCAGTAAGAGGACACTTAGAGTGCACCGACATACCAAGTATGCCCATAAGTTCATTCACTCAGCTTCAACTAGCCGGGAATAAAATCTACTACATTCACACTGCAGATGATGAGGTGAAGATGGACAGCTTTGAGTTTGAAGTGACCGATGGTTACAATCCAGTTTTCCGTACTTTCCGTGTGTCCATTACAGATGTGGACAACAAAAAACCAGTAGTGACCATTCACGGACTTATTGTTAATGAAGGTGAAAGTAAGCTGATCACTCCTTTTGAGTTGACGGTGGAGGATCGTGATACAGCCGACCAGCTTTTAAAGTTCACTATTACTCAAGTGCCTGTGCATGGCAAGTTGTTGTTTAATAACACCAGATCCGTCACTTCTTTCACCAAGCAGGACCTGAATGAAAACATGATCCGCTACAAGCATGATGGAACCGAGTCTGCATCCGATAGCTTCTCGTTTACTGTTACCGATGGAACCCACACTGACTTTTACGTGTTCCCTGACACGGTTTATGCCACTCGCAAACCCCAAATGATGAAAATCACTATTTATTCAGTTGACAATGGAGTTCCGCAGGTTGTGACAAATAAAGGTGGCACAACCTTAAGAACTCTTTCTACTGGTCACCTTGGATTTCTGATCACTAGTAAAACATTAAAGGCAGAGGACAGAGACAGCCCTCAAGGAGCAGTGACTTTTAAAATTACAGTGGGAGCTGAACATGGCTACCTGATTGACCTGGGGAAAGGCAACGCCACTATTACCACATTCACCCAAGGTGAGTCTTTGATGATAATGTAATGCTGCTGTATGTTATAATATTTTAAATCTTTTAAATTAATCTGCATTTCTGGTAGATTAATGCTTAATGCGTTAGGATAGTATGTGAGAGAATAATGGATTAACATACATGTCAGAATACTATCTTATAGGGATATTTTATGCAAAAATGAAAATTCTGTGATCATTTATTCACCCTCATGTCAATTCAGATCCGAAGGGCTTTCTTTCTTCTGTGTAACAGAAGAAGGTGATCTTTTTTTGTGGAATATCTTGGGTGCTCATTTCCACATGATAAAATGTCTATCGACCCCCTATTTTTGTGGAAAAATTAATAAATAAAAATATGTCAGCTGGTCTTCAAGCTATAAATGTTCCCAAAAAAACCCTGATTGAAAGCTACATAATATGGGTTTGGCCACTCAGTAGTATGTTTTTGCTTTAATAAACTTCTAAATAGCTGCTTATTGATAATTATAAATGTAATAGTTGGGTTGAGGTATTTCCACGTAGATGTGTGCATACAATTCTGAACTGCATTGTTAAAAAACAGTCTACCTACCTATATTTACATCCAAACTGGCAGCATAAATAGACAGGAATTACCTTTAAAAGATGGTCACACTTTATTTTGATAGTTTGTTTGTTGGATTAAGTTACATTGCCAGCTAACTCTCATTAGATTATAAGTAGACTGTTAGGTTGGGGTTATGGTTAGGGTTGCGGTTTGTGTAAGTTAGCATGTACTAGCATAGTTTCTTATAGTCATTTAAATGTCTGTTGAAGGAGCGGTATCAGCAGATATTAAGCAGACAGTCTACTAATACTCAAATGGACCATAAAAGTGAAGTGTTACCTAAAAGATTTAACACTTAAAATGGCAAATATTAATTTAGCCATAATTATCACATAGCTAATAACAACATAACCAGTTCTTTCTAATTCTTCAAGAGTCAAGATGATCTTTGACCTGATTCGGGAGCTCCTGAAAATAGAGTTTTGACAGACAGAGATAGGGACAAAGATACTACAAGTGAACAATCCTAAATATATTCCTGAAATGAGGATATGTTTAACTTTATTTATTAGTCAAAATCATTTCAAAGGTTAAAAATTGATTCAAATAATCATATGAAGAAAGTAATGAGAAAAAGGATGAACGTTGATCCTTTCTGGGATGGATTTGAAGACAGAAATCTGACCTCATCGTGTCCAATAAACTTAGTAAAAACTAATAAGGTCACTTCATTCCATCATGTTGTCCCAATCAATCTGGAAGCCAGCATTTTGTACAGTGTAAGAGTAGGTGGTCACACTTTATTTAGCTACTTTATTCACTTTATTTCTACTTTTGTAGTGTTTCTTTTTCTCCCCATTTTGAGGGATTGTTTTGTCTTAATTATATGGACATGAGCAGCCTGTGTATGAGGGTGAATAAAGATTGGAGGGATTACCTTTCTTTGTAATGAACATGATACCCAATAATAACTACAATGTTCTAAAGAGCACCAGGGAGGATTGTCTTAAAATATTTAAAAGCTATCTGAAAAAGAGAACACATGGCTGTTAAAGAATGACATCAGTATCCTTTGTAAGATGTTTTTGACTTTTAATAAGACTGATACAACATTTTCACTGTAAGGTAAAAAAGGCCTAATGTTTTACACCAATACATAAGCAAACAAACATGCTTGTGTTACTCAAGTCGCCCAGTCACAGGAAAGGACTTTCAGTGCTCTCAGGCATATCTGGACAGCTTAATATAGTTATAAAAAGTTGTAAATGTCAAAACTAGCAGGGGACATGCTCAACTTGCCACTGTGCTTCCCCTTTCTAAATATGCTCCTTTTTTAGGATTCTCTTTGAATATTTCAAGGGAGTTTAGCACAGTTGGAGGCTGGGTGGTGTTGGTGTGGGCTACTGACAGTAAATAAAGTTGCTGTTACCTTATGGGCATTTGAAAATGATGGGTTTACATTTTTATGAGCTGGCCCCTTTGAAGAGAAATGTTTTGACATCAAATATTGAAGATAGGCTAGCAGTGTGGATGTAACACCCTCTCAGAAAGAAAAAAAAAAAAAACACACAGATGAAATCCACTCCAAAGTTTAAGCACAAGAGGGGCTGATGGAGAAATTAATAGGCGGGTGCCAGCTGGAGACCTGCGGCTCTTTGTGGCTCTTTCAGTCAGAGGGGAATTGATGTACCACAGCTTTAGTGCTTCATATTTCTTTCGCTGTAAATTAAACACTGCCCAGCTGATGAATCTCAGACATAATGCAGTCTGGTGCCTGCAGCCCTCTGTGCAAGAGCACATGGGCAAAGTGCCCATGTTTGAAAGCAATTTCAAACTTGGTTCATTTACAGTACAGTACACTGTCCCGAATGACACCTTGTGCTCTCTTGTTCCTCTTCAGAGTCTAATCTCTGGACTCCAAGACTCACATGGACTGCTAACCAAAAGTTCACTTTGGAGTTCACACCATGTGGCATTTGCGACAAGGTTACCCTTTTAGAGAAAAAAAGAGAAAGTTTAAACTTAGTCTTGTCTGCTCCGGAAAATATATCGTCTGAGCATCGATACTGCAACGTGTAGGTTCGCAGTAGTCACATTGCAGGATATGCAATGTTTATTATGATTATAAATTTTAAGAAGTTTATCATTTGCATGTGTCTTTAAGGCCGGTGACTTTGTCAGTATCTTAAGAGAGTTTATACAGGGTTGTTACTGGTGCTGGAAATCCTGGAAAATGCTTGATTTTTAATATAGTGTTTTCAAGGTTAGAAAAGTGCTTGGATTTTGGACAAAGTGCTTGAACCTGCTTGAATTTGCAGGGCTCGAAATTGTGACTGTTTTCATGGTTTCATATGCGCACAATTTTATCTATGTGACCTCAAAATATATTTGGAAGCATATGTGCGAGTGCATAAATTGTTGTCGTGCGTGTTTTTATTGCAAAATGTTTACCACGTGTGTATTTATGGAGCTAATAATAAGCCAAAACAAGCTGAATTTGAATTGTGTTTAATTGAATTATTTACATTTGTAAGTTAATAAAACTGATTATGTCCTATTAGAAATGTTTTGAATTTGTATTTCTTAACCTGATTATTGAACATCTGAAACTTAAGACAACTTAATTTTTTAAGTCAGATTTTTATAGACATATTTTTAAACTTCAGATTTGTTTTGGTTCTGTATTTAAAGACTGCAGATATTGAGTATGTAAAAATACAGTTTTAAGTTTTTAAGAGGGCGAAGCAGTGGCGCAGTAGGGTCGCAGTAGTGGCGCAGTAGGGTCGCTGGTTCGAGCCTCGGCTCAGTTGGCGTTTCTGTGCTCCGGTTTCCCCCACAGTCCAAAGACATACGGTACAGGTGAAATGGGTTGGCTAAATTGACCGTAGTGTATGAGTGTGATTGTGTGTGGATGTTTCCCAGAGATGGGTTGCGGCTGGAAGGGCATCCGCTGCATAAAAATTTGGCGGTTCATTCCGCTGTGGCGACCCCGGATTAATAAAGGGACTAAGCCGACAAGAAAATGATGAAAGTTTTTAAGAATTCAAATGAACACAATTCAAATTCAGATTGTTTTGGCACTATTAGCTACATGAGACATTCACCCAGAATGCATCTTTGCACCTGAAATGTCAATCCAATGAATGTAAAAAATAACAAACGATTAATACTACACCCAGACAAAATCTGACTTTAAGCTCATTTCTTGAGATATCAACTTTAGGTAGAAAGAGACCAAACTTAAAAACATACTTCATCGAATAACTGAACTTTTTTTGTTTGTTTGTTTGTTTTTATCATTTTTGGGAGAACTATTCCAATAATTCTATGCTCTAAAGGACTCAACGATTTGAGTTGAAATGTCATATTGTGTTTTTTAAAATAGCACAATGAATTTAAATGTTAAGAAAAATCATACAACATATTTAAACGTATTTAACCAAGGTTAATAGGTGCTGGAAAAGCACACAAATGCTGCTTGAAAAGTGCTGGAATTTGAAGTTGGAAAAGGTGTAAGAACCCTGTTTATAGCATGTTAGTAGTGCATAAAGAAGATTAATTGTATTAAATTACTTATATGATGATAACCATGCTGTTATTTTACATTTGATAATTCAATTTCTGTGTCTGAATTTTGTTGCTCTCTTCAGAAAACCATGAAGCATGTTTTTTTTTCACTTTAATTTTTGCTCCGTTGTTTATTTATAACTGTAGTTTATTAATTGTATATAATTAATTGTATAAAAGTATATTTATGATTTACTCCCCTATAAATATCATCACAATCAATCTAAAGTAATGACTTTGCTTAAATTTGCTATTTAATTCTTCTGGTGAAATTGTATTTATATTGCAATGTATGTCGCAGGGGAAAAATATCACAATGTCAAAAAATAAATAAATAAATGCAATGAAGTTAAATGATTTAAAGCAGAATTTAAATATTTTTAAAATGTATAAGTTAATATTTATTAATTTATTGCCTTTAATACAAAAATAACAAATGAAGTTTGTAAATAGTTGTTTACTTATTTTTTATACCTATTTCGTTTTTGCGTAAACTGCGAAATGCTAATGTATGATATACAGTAGTTGATGTCATCTGCATCATACAGTATGTTTACAGGCATGTGAGTGCCAACCAAAACAACTATCCGCTTGTTAAGTCATGACGTGTGAAATACTGTTCCCCTTCGGGGGGAACTTCAGCACTATAAGTGGATTTGATTGTAAAATCCACGCATTGGGAGGTTCGGTTCAGAAGCTACTCGTCTGAAAGAGTATTGAACGGGCCAATTAAGAATGAATTGGCAGCGCAAGCCTGCGCAGGTGAGCGGCATAAGCAATCAACTGAGTATATAAGCTCACCTGGCGCAGCAGACGCTATCCTTTTCGCTTCAGAGACTTTCTGATCGAGTCGATGAGGGTTCCTCCTGCTGTGACCAGCGATTCTGAGCGAACGAGAGCATTCTCCCGGTCCA